AACTATCACCGGCACCTCTAGGTGTGGTATGCGTCTACTGCTGCATAAATAAAGATTATTTTGAATTTAAATTTGGATTTGAAATATTGCCGGGCGGTTTGTAAGTATGCGCACCTGCCGAGGACCATGTACGGATGCACGGTACGCACCTATCACAAACTCGAATTTCTTTTTTCCAAATTTCATTACTTCGAAAATTGTTCGACTTTTTCATTAGTGCGATAACAATTTTGGTATAAATTTGAAACACAGCAAAAAGTCTTATAGCAGAAGTATCGTTTCTCTGAAAATCTATTAAGATTAAGATTAACTACTTTTTACATGCACGCTGCAAAAACAGTGTGAAGTAAAAATGATCGACAAGAGTACAAATTATAGAATAAGGGAAACAACAAGTGCTAGGACGACAGCTGAAATACTTTATTCTCGAGAAGCTTCTTCAATAGCTACTCCTCCTCTGTTTGGTTCTATATCCGAAATGGAAGAATGAACTTTACTATGGACAAAGCAAAAATAGTATTAAAAAGAAGAAAACATACAGTTAGGTAGATATTCAGAAAACCTAACATGTGTCTATGAGTGTCTAAACAATATAAGTGAACAAAACAAATTAATTCAGCATAAAGGATATTTAAAGTACGTTATTCAAATGTTCAAAACTCCTGTGGGTTGGGGTTAGGTTAGTATATGAAAAAGCCGCACGACCCGAGCGAGTGAAGCGAGCGTGTCGCGGCAGTGGCCGGCGAGTGCCAGAGCCGAATTTGTTAGCATTACCTAGACGGTACGACCCCCTCCTGTAGGTTTAGGTCAGGTTAGTATATGAAAAAGCAGCACGATCCGTACGAGCGAAGCGAGCGACTACAACTCTATCAAATTAAGTTGCATCTCGTTTACCATGTTTTTACATCGAGTTATATTGTGCCACACGTTCCAATACTTTTAATATCTGTTATAAGAAATAATATAACAAAAATGTATCAAGGATGTCGTTTTTTTTATAAAATAAAAATATTCAATTAGATACAATGGTCAAACGGTTTGTTGGGGAAATAAAAACCGGGAAAAGAATTACTTGCCAATATGTCAAAATAGTGAAAAGGTAAATGGTGTAATGAAAAAAACCGTAACGTGTTTTCGGACAAACGAAACAAAATCTGTTCAATAAAAATCTAAAGGTTTTCGGAGAAATAAAATTCTGTAAATCATGTTTCTAGTTTGTGATAGGAAACCCGGACGCACACATTTGCACAACTTCATAGTGCACTTGCGGTGTGCATTGTGTGGATCGTCGCCCGCGCCATTCATCATAGAATTGAAGCGTTCGCTCGGTGTTTAAAAAATGACATCAAGTAGACGTGTTTATTGTTGTGTTTATGGTTGTTTGCAGAAGAGCGCCTCAAATTCAGTATTGTCGTTCTTCTCGTTAACTACTAAGCATGAGAGGTAGTTACACATTTTTTGTTTATTTAACGACTTGGAATGATGAGGAGCTCTCGAAACGAATTCTGTATTGGGTATTTTGCATAGTGCCCTGGATTAATTGCGTTGCTCTGGTACTCATAGTACAGGGAATTCCTGAGTTTGAGATTAGGTACTTAGTGTGTTATCAGGCACACTTATTGTATTATCATTGCTTTTTTCTCTTTCTTTCAATATAGCACGAAATTATTATTTTAATATTATGCTTACAACCTGTAACGACAATCAAAATAATAAATGTGACAAGCCTATTGTTCAAGCGAAATGTAACGCATTGATGCCCCAAACAGGCGGGACTTGCTCTAACTTGGTCTTATTTTTGACTTTTATCGCATAAAAGTCATAAAAGTAATGCATACTACATCAAAATGTGCATTTAGGACATTTTATAACTCTCCAAATTAAGCATAAAAAAGTTATCGAATTTCGTTTGCAGAATGTTTGAACATCTCTCCTGAAAAGTTCAAATTTTGCAGATGTGGCCTTATTACACCGAGGGTGTGAGGTTGTGTTCGTCAAGCTGTGGTACACTGTAACAAATGTTTGATGAATAAATTCAAAATCAGAAATTCAATATACCATTGCTGGGAAACAGGGACACTGTATCTTCATCGTTAGCGCTATGTAACAATTCGTAATAAGTTTGAATGGCACCGACTCCAAAAATAACTAATTAGAATATTATAAGTACTTAATACAATTGTCAATATTTTTTTACTGGTAAAGTAAAACTTCAAAACCAATTAGTAGGTAGCACATTACAATAGTAAAATTATAAGTAGGTAATGGGTTTTGACAAGAAGGGTGCGCCTCATATATACGAAAATTAAATGAACTAATTTCAAAACAAATACCATTCATTTAATATAATTTTTATTTGGATCAATTTAACTTCCTATAATTTAACTTCATATCATTCTTGTTTGATATAACATTTACATAGAAAATGAAACTATTTTTCCGGATTTAAATCGCGTATATTTGTTTTTTCAAACAAACCGACGTTTTGGGCCCTTTACAGGTCCCATGGTCACGGTTGACTGAGGTGGTACAATCTTCAACCAGTTATGTCTAATACTAATGCAAACCACCCTATTTTTTTCACTATAGTTACAATAGTTATTAATTAAATACCATATTTTTAATTTTACAAAGAAAACATTCCAATTTATGCTACTTTAAGTTTTACAAACTTTACAAATACGCGATTTAAATCCGGAAAAGTAGTTTCATTTCCTATGTGTAACAATCACCATTATATAACAATCATTCCATATATTGCCAATTTAGATAATTTTTACGCGGTATAATATCACTTTTCGTAAATAATAAGTTTAAACCCGATTCACCATGGTACTTGTCTGTTCGATACTAGGAACACTCCTAGTATCGAACAGACAAGTACCTATTTATATTTAGATTCCTTGTCTGTTCCATGACGGATTCCACAACAACCACCACCAAGTCACCACCAGGAGACAAGTACCATGGCGGATTTAAAAGCCGGAGGTGCAGAGTGAGAGTTGTATCCCTTAATATAGTTTACAATGCTGAATTTTCGTTTTACGCAAAATTATTATTGTTTGGCACTGGATTCCTCGGTGGTTTAAATAAAACAAACGTATTTTACATAGGTCAAATCTTGGTTGCGGTTTCCGTTCAGTAGGTTAGGTTAGAACATGAAAAAGCAGCACGAGCTGAGGGAGCGTACCGCGGCAGCGGCCGGTGAGTACCAGAAACGAATTTGTTTGCGTTTCCGAACATGTTTTCAGGCCAAATTATAATTAATATAAAATGAGTATTAGGAATATCGTTTTTCGGAAAAAATCCTATTTCTAGATGAAATGATATTTAGTTATAATGACGTTATGTTAAATGTCGTTTATAACTTATGATTGTTATTAAAAATTAGTGTTAGTGTAAGTGATCGTTATCGGATTCGTCGATAAAAAAATAAATTATAGAATGTAACGAGTTCTTAGGTTTTCGCGATTGTTACACATAGGAAATGAAACTATTTTTCCGGTTTTAACAAGGTTTGTTTGAAAAAATAAATATACGCGATTTAAATCCGGAAAAATAGTTTCATTTCCTATATAGAATGTAAGTTCATTCATAAACGTTCGTTATATGAAGTGAATTACTATATTAAATTAGTTATATATATATATACCTAAAACTATACTAAATATATAAAAATAGTTCATGGTAAAATTATGCCTATAGAAAGTTATGTGAATAATATTTAAACGATACATGGCATCAACATCAATGGCGAGTACCTAACACACCTTCGATTTGCCGATGATATAGTTCTTATGGCTGAGACCTTGGGAGACCTGAACACAATGCTCGAAGATCTCAGTAGTGTTTCCCAAAGAGTGGGTCTTAAGATGAACATGGACAAGACGAAGATCATGTCGAATGTCCATGTTGTACCCGCTCCAGTTAAAATTGGGAGCATTACACTCGAAGTTGTTGACCATTACGTATACCTGGGGCAGACAGTGCAGTTAGGTAAGTCCAACTTTGAGAAAGAGATCTCTCGTCGAATCCAGCTCGGATGGGCAGCGTTCGGGAAACTCCAAAAAATCGTTGCGTCCAAATTACCTCAATGTCTCAAGACGAAAGTCTTTGACCAGTGTGTGTTGCCAGTGATCACATATGGATCAGATACGTGGTCCCTCACTATGGGCCTCATAAGAAGACGCAAGGTCACTCAGCGGGCAACGGAGAGAGCGATGCTCGGTATTTCCCTGCGTGATATAATCAGAAATGAGGAAATCCGTAGGAGAACTAAGGTAACCGACATAGCTCGAAGAATTGCTCAGCTGAAGTGGCAGTGTGCGGGGCACATAGCTAGGAGAACCGATGGCCGTTGGGGCGGAAAGGTTCTTCAATGACGACCGCGCACCGGACGACGCTCAGTGGGTAGGCCCCCCACCAGGTGGACCGACGATCTGGTGGAGGTCGCGGGAAGCCGATGGATGCGGACAGCGCAGGAACGATCGTCGTGGAGATCGTTGGGGGAGGCCTATGCCCAGCAGTGGGCGTCGTATGGCTCAATGATGATGATGACATTACACACCCGGACAAGAATTGTCACGTTGTAATTGTATAAATAGACAATAAATGTTATATAAATGTAGACAGATTGATTAATAATTTATTGTAAAACTGTGTAAAAAACGAAATGAGACAAAAATAAGTAATAAGAATTAAGTGCATTGTTTTCATTTGGATTAAATCTGTATTTTGTTATTTTTAGTGTAGTAGCCGTTTGTGGTTTTTGAAGTTGGTAGGATTTTTTTTAAACTTTGTTTATATTGATACATACATAAAATTTGTGTGTATTAATGTTCTATTCTATGTAAGGTAGTAAGTAGTGACACGCCTTTCCATAACAGTTGCAGTGCCACTCAGTGCTTTAAATCACAAAGATCTGAAGGGCACTGCCACTGCGCCAGGCACCCTGAAATATAAGTTGACAAGTCTCATGTGCTTGTAATTTCACCACTTACCCGTCATAACCGGAACGCAGTAATGCTCACAGTACTGCTTGGCGGCAGAAATAGGTACGGTGGCAGTACTTACTTGGACGAACTCTTTCAGAAGGAGCTATTCTCCCAACTAAAAATAAATGAATAAGTGTAAATGAAAGTGCGCAAAAAATATAGTTTTCTCAAACATTCAGTATGTTAAGAGCTAACAAAGTTATGATTATGAGGATATAAAAACCATACCTAGTCATAAAGTCGTTCAAGAGCGCATTACTTCAGTCATAAACATTAATCTAAAGCTCATGCAGATCTGCATTAACGGAGCACTATTTTTTACTACGACGGTTACTTCGAAAGCATAGTTGATGTTCTTATTATAACTGCTTTTACGAAAACAGGGTTTCTATTATCACAAAATTCGTATAAATTCACATATTAAACATGTCGTAATTGTAACTACTAGAGTTAATAATAATAACGCGTACACACTCATAGACCCGCACTATGGAAACCCTGTATCGCGAGTGCCATGGACACACATATAGAGAACTATAAATTACACCTAAACTCACGAGATAAATAAATACAGGCCATATAAATATTTCTCCTGGCCCGGGAATCGAACTCGGGACGTCTCACTACGGGAAATTTAGGTCAGTTACGGACCAAAAATCTGTAACGTTTTTGTTTTTTGAGACACATTTAATTTCATTTGAGACAATTTTTTATTATACATAGTGGGAATTACCATGCTTTTAAACGCATATACATGCATATACATATATTAGACTACTCGTAATTGAGAGACAAAAATATGTGCAAAATCATAAATCTCTCTCTGGTAAATTCTATCCCATATTTATTAAAAAAAAATGGAAATTCCTTTTTACAGTAATCTTTATTCATAAAATAAATTAAATGTAATTATAAATTTTACTTAAAATTATATAAAATAAAAAATAAAAATACGAGACAGGAAAAAAACATGACAAACAGATATCCGAAATATTTGTTATTATTTCGGATATCTGTTTTAGGGTCGTATTCCAAAACTCTGCTCAATGCTCAAGTCAGGATCTGAGTATGATTTCAAGCACTGGAAATACGACTGTAATGTCAGGGACTTGAGTATGATTTCGAGTGCTTTAAGCCATACTCAAATCTTGACTGGAGCATTGAGTACAGTTCTGGAATACGACCCTTAGACTCTAGCCTCTCTCTTCTATCATGACATTGTTACATAATATAATATTTTTTTTAGAATCAGGGATGAGTTGGTCCACTTTCAATAGACGTAGCGTCTCCTCGTCAAGCTCCTGTCGATTTTGAACATAAGGTTTTCGGTTACTGGTTATAAATGGATCAGAAGTACAAAGTAACGTGTGAAATACATCTTTATTTGTTGCAGATCTAGAGCACTTTCTTACGTGGCGTAATCTAAATTTTTTGTAGTCTTTATTACGAGATTCTTGAGCGTCTTCTGAAAGTTGCCCGATAGGTAACACTGCAAAATGATTAATTATACCTTCTCCGTGAATTAATATTTTGTGTACTGAAGATGGCATATAATACTAATCATATTTACTGACGTATATTCTTGCAATTTCCAAAGCATATTGCCCAAATTTTTGGGAATGTATCATTATGCCAGACGATAAAGCTTGAAGGATATATTTATCAAAAGCATCTTCATCAATCATCGACTACTGTAATTTCAGCTGATTTCAGCTACATTATAAAAAAACCTTCTCGCAGTCTTGCCGTCATTGGTATTACCACCTCTTTGCCGTGGTTTATCAATTATTAATTCAAGGTCTTCTCGAAAGCGTCTTTGTACCACAGTTTTCTTCTCTTGTTTCATTTGTTTATTTTCGTCACTCATAGCTGACCATTTTTGAAACGAAAGGTTGTAAGAAATATGCAAAATCAGTGTTCAATCCTTAACGAAATGAATTTTCATTTTCGGGCCTACGGTTACGCCTACGGTTGAACTTGAAGAAGTGTCAGTTAATACCTGAGCTACTTTGCCGTTTAGTGTTCTCAGGGGTTTCTTTCGAAAACTCAATTAAAATAGGGCGACAGAATCACGCGGATGACGGCGCAGGATTTAGTCAAACAACAATACCAATCGTTTCATCAATTAATCTGATGGGCACAACAGATGCGATGAATAAGTACGAGTCTGACACAAGTTCAAACTCCTCTGGAAGTCTTTGTTTATACTCATTTTGACCGGCGAGCCATCACATCCCCATTTACTGTATAAAACCAACTGTTTCATACCGTTTTTGTACACGGAATCTATCATCGATATCCTCGCCGTTGTGTGATGTAATAAATCCTGTAGGGATAACATTATTGCACATGTGTTTGTAATTTTAATAGCTGATACAGGTGGGTAACAGTTACTTTTTTGTACTTTGTAATACGGTGGTAGTAAGAAACAGTTCCGTTCATTCAAAATATTCTTGAAATATAAATATTGAGCCCTGGTCAGATCCAATCAACTCAATAAACTTAGGTCCCTTAAATATATGCACTATAGACGTGTGCGAATCCATATGTATTAAGCAGAGAAGCATTTTTGCGCTTCTTACTAGATTCTGAAGAATTTTCATAAGCCGTACATGGTCTTTCTCGTTTTCCATTTTAAGTAGATGGAATGGAATCGATTGTCATTGACTAACTCTTGATCCAACCAATCACTGATAACCCTCAAAAAGGCTTCTTTCTTTCGTCATGCTTGGTTCAATCGACTGTTAAACTGTGTCAGCAATTTTTTTTAAATCACTAATTATCAAACGTAAATTGTCCTCCGAAAGTTCATAACAATCTCGTAAAAATGTTTCTAGAGCCGATTCATTTCTTCCACCTTCAAAGAAGGAAAGTATTAGTTCTCGTCTCAAACATTTTCGAAAGTACTCATTTTCAAAGGAGTTGGAAAAGTATATTAAGCAACAAACGACTGCTTGTTTTAATAAATTTATGAAATTAATATGTCAGAGCATTATATATAGTATTATATTGGTGTAGTGTGAATAATATTGACAAATAATAGGTGTTAAAGTATGAAATTGCCGATTTGTACTGAAAATCTAAATTGTTTATTTTTTAAATTTTTAACAAATTTATTTAATCAAAATAGTTGCCATTATTATCTATACATTGCTGCCATCTAATGGGAAGGTTATTAATGCCTTTGCGATAGAACTCCGACGATCTAGACTGCACAAACTGTGTGAAAGCATTTTGTACTGCCTCCTGGGAAGAAAACTTCTTGTCACGTAGATAATTGTCCAAATCACGAAAAAAATGGTAGTCCGTTGGAGCAAGGTCTGGTGAATACGGAGGATGACGAATGGTTTCTAACTGCAGTTCCTGAAGGGTCAAAATGGTTTCTCGTGCTGTGTGAGGTCTCGCGTTGTCGTGGAGCAATAATGGTGCAGATCGATTCATGAGTCGGGGCTGTTTTACTGCTAGTTTTGTCAACATGGTTCGGAGTTCGGCACAATAGACATCTGCCGTTATTGCTTGACCAGATCGGAGAAAACTATAGTGAATAACACCATGCTGAGACCACAAAACAGTTACCATTACCTTTTTATTGGTAAGTTTTGCTTTAGGACACTGTTGTGGCATTTGACCTGGGGTCAGCCATTGCATTTTTCTTTTCCGGTTATCATAAAGAATCCACTTTTCATCACATGTTACAATTCGATCCAATATTCCTTCATTTCTGTACCGGTTCAACAAGGCAACACAAGTTTCAACACGCGTTTCTTTCTGCAGATCAGTCAAATCATGAGGCACCCATTTTTCGTATTTTTTTATTTTATTGATTTGACGCAAGGGAGTCAGTATTGTGGGTAAGGTAACGTTAAACCATGCCGCTAATTCCTGGGTAGTTTGACTAGGATCGGCTTCCACTATCTCTCTTAATTCATCGTTATTCACCTGTGTGGGCGGTCTTCCTCGTGGCTCGTTCTTTAAGTCGAAATTTCCATCACGAAAGCGTTTAAACCAAAATCGCATGGTGCGTTCATTAGTAGACCCCTCTCCAAACGCAGCATTGATATTGCGGGCTGTTTCTGCCGCGTTAGTTCCGCGTCGGAACTCGTATTCAAAAATCACTCGAATTTTCGCAGTATCCATCTTTCTTGTCTAAATTGAATAACAAAAACAATTGAAAGTCGATATTCAAATGTTTCAAATTTAAAAAAAAAAAAATCACAGAAACCATTTGAAAAAAGTTTCATTCGAAAACCTCAAACCATGAAGATTCTATGAAAATTCAAAGAACCTATTGCAATAAAACGGCAATTTCATACTTTAACCCCTAATATAATAAATGCAACCGCATCTATATTATCTTATCGCGATAAGGGTATTTTTCTGCGGTAGGACATTTGTTACGATTTCTTTCATATTTTTTTCAGATTTTCTTTAGAAACTGCAAAAAACCGCAGCTGATTTACATAAAATTTTGATAATGGATACTTGCGCTATGAAATAATACAAAATTCGAAGCTTCGGCAAGGTTCGCTAACAGTCACAACCTTTGGTGAATTTGATAAAGATGGGTTAATGTCTCCATTTTTAATTATCATTTATTTTCTGTATATTACACAACAAATTTGAAAAATACCAACTATTTTTGACATTAACGTGAGATGTGCTTTATGAAATATATAATAACACATAGCTTATCTAACAAAATCAATACGAATACGACTTCGAAAGTTACAAAATTATAAGGTACAACGAGATGAGTACGGGAAAGGACATTTTGGATGTATTTTTATTAAATCAACATACCTATCTAAAATAAAAAACCTTCAGTATAACAAAAGTGACATCTAAACTATCAAATAAGATTAAATATGTATTTCAATTAAGACATTGGTCAAAACTGTCGGTGCGTCTACGTGACAGTCCAGCATGGTAACCGTTCGGCCACGGAGGCAGTTGTATGCAATAAATATGTCTAAGTGTAATAATATTAAACGTAAAAAGATTAGCAGAACATCATTTTCTACATGTATAAATACGGACGTAAATGTCTACTTT